TGGTGGAGGAATCATTTGTAGACCTGTGGTACCATAAGTTGGACTTGATGATCCTTATGTTTCTCATCCAATTGGAGATATTCCATGATTCTATGTGGTAAAGGAGGATGCATAGAATCACTATTGTTGGAAGAGACTGTGAAGATCATTTTTCCAGTGGTGGTGGAGGAGGCGTTGGTGGTAGTGGTGCGGGAGTAATTATTTTTAGACCTGTGGTACCATGAGTTGGAATTGGTGATCCTTCTGGTCCCATACAACTGGGAATATTTCATGATTCTATGTGCTGGGGGAGGATACATAGAATCACTATTGTTGGAAGAGACTGTGAAGATCATTGTTCTAGCGGTGGTGGAGGAGGAATTGCTTGTGGTGTTCGAGAAAATATTTTTAGACCAGTGGTACCATGAGTTGGACTTCATGATCCTTATGGGTCCCTTCCAAATGGTGATTTTGCATGATTCTGTGTGGTGGAGGAGGATACATGGAATATTTATTGTTGGAAGAGACCTTCAAGGTCATCGCTCTCGTCGGTGTTGGAGGAGGAGGTGCCTGTGGTGGTGGAGGAATTATTTTTAGACCAGTGGTACCATGAGTTGGACTTGATAATCCTTATGTATTCCGTCCAAGTGGGGATATTCCATGATTCTGAGCAGTGGACGAGGATACATAGAATCATTATTGTTGGAAGAGACCTTCAAGGTCATTGTTCTACTTTTTGGAGGTGGAGGAGGCAGTCATGGAGGAAGTGGTGGTGGTGGTGGTGGAGGAATTATTTTTAGACCTGTGGTACCATGAGTTGGACTTGGTGTTCCTTATATGTCCCTTCCAACTGGGGATATTCCATGATTCTGTGCGGTGTAGGAGGATGCAGAGAATCATTATTATTGGAAAAGAACTTGAAGGACTTCGTTCTCGGCGGTGGTGGAGGAGGAGTTGATGGAGGTTGTGGAGGAATAATGTTTGAAGCTGTGGTACCATGAGTTGGACTTGATAATCCTTATGTGTTCCGTCCAACTGGGGATATTCCATGATTCTATGTGTTAAAGGAGGATACATGGAATCATTATTGTTGGAAGAGATTTTAAAGATTGTTGTTCTAGCGGTGGTGGAGGAGGCGGCGGTGGTGGTCATGGAGGAGGAATTATTTTTAGACCTGTGGTACCATGAGTCGGACTTAGTGATCCTTATATGTACCTTCCAACTGGGGATATTACACGATTCTATGAGGTGGAGGTGGATACATAGAATCATTATTGTTGGAAGAGACTTTAAATCTCATTGTGCTAGCGGTGGTGGAGGAGGCGGTGGTGGTGGTCGAGAAATTATTTTTAGATCTGGTACCATGAGTTGGACTTGCTGTTCCTTATATGTCCCTTCCAACTGGGGTTATTCCATGATTCTATGTGGTGGAGGAGGATACATAGAATAGAATCACTATTGTTGGAAGAGTCCTTCAATGTCATCCTTTTAGACGGTGTTGGAGGAGTAGGTGGTGCTTTTGGTGGAGGAATCATTTTTAGACCTGTGGTACCATAAGTTGGACTTGATGATCCTTATGTTTCTCATCCAATTGGGGATTTTCCATGATTCTATGTGGTGGAGGAGGATACATAGAATCACTATTGTTGGAAGAGACTTTAAACATCATTGTTCTAGTGGTGGTGGAGGAGGAGGAATTATTTTTTAGACCTGTGGTACCATGAGTTGGAATTGGTCATCCTTATGGGTCCCATCCAACTGGGGATATTCCATGATTCTATGTGGTGGAGGAGGATACATAGAATCATTATTGTCTGAAGAGACCTTGAATGACGTCGTTTTAGACGGTGGTGGATGAGGAGATGAGGGTTGTGGAGAAGGAAATTTTTTTGACCTGTGGTACCATGAGTTGGACTTAATGATCCTTATGTGTCCCTTCCAACTGGCGATATTCCATGATTGTGTGTGGTTGAGGAGGATACATAGAATCATTATTTTGAGTAGTCCTTCAAGGTCATCGTTCTAGTTTTTGGTGGTGTAGAAGGCAGTGGTAGAGGAGGTGGTGGTGGCGGTTGGAGGAGAAGGAGGAGGACGTTTCCTACCCTGATTTTGTGATTTCTGTGATTCTGCGATTCTGATTCTGTGATTCTGTGATTTGAGCACGGGCTTCTGAAAAACATAAACAGGTCCTTGCAATCTCCCTGACTCTGCGGCTGTTTTTTCTTCCTGGCCACCTTGCTCTCTGTGCCCCTGAGAAGGGCATGGTAGTATCAATGACCTTGAGCCCAGAGATGTCAGGAGCAATTGCCAGGAACCAGGTGTGTAAAGGTGGCTTCTGTGGGATGGTCAGGTCACGAGCGCTGCCCACCACTCATACATGTAGTTCTAGTTCCGTTTGTGACTCAGTAGGGCCATACACCATGGCTCTGTAAGGCAGCAGCTGGCTAGTCCTAGCATCATCATGACTCCCTGGGATACGTTGCCTGTCCCCTGATTGGCTGGCTTGGGATTGTCAGCTGTTTTGCAACAATTACGTCATAAAGACAGGGTGTGCCTAATCCCTATCTAAGGGCCGAAGGGTGGCAGTGGGAGGCAGAGCGTTTGGGATGGCACATGGTGCAGCAGCTGGAAGAGGGAGAGGGAGAGGGAGAGGGAGAGAGAGAGGAAGAGGGAGAGGCAGAAGCAGAGGCAGAGGGAGAGGGAGAGGAAGAGGAAGAGGAAGAGGAAGAGGAAGAGGAAGAGGAAGAGGAAGAGGAGGCAGAAGAGTAGGCAGAGGAGACAGAGGAGGAGGCAGAGAAGGAGGCAGAGGAGGTGGAGGAGGCAGGAGAGGAGACAGAGGAGACAGAGGAGGAGGGAGAGAGAGAGGAGGCGGGAGAGGGAGAGAAAGAAAAAAGGGAGAGAAGGAGGAGCGAAAGGAGGAGGAGGATGACGATAACAAAAAGAACAAGGAGGCAGAGGTGGAAATGGTCATGGAGGAGGAGAAGAAGGAGGAGGTGGAGGTGGGGGCGGCAGCAGACAACGAGGAGAAAAATAGGTGGTGTTGGAGGCGGCAGCAGTGTTGGCTGTGGTGCTGGTGAAGGAGGCGGCAGCCGTAGTGGCGACGGTGGAGGAATAGGTGACAGAAGAGCAGGTGGTGGAGGAGCAGGGGGAAGGGAAGAGGAAGAGAAGAAGGAGGATTAGGAGGAGATGGTACTGGAGGAGGATCTTTATGGGTCACTTCCAACTAGGGATATTCCATGATTCTGTGTGGTGGAGGAGGATTCATTGAATCCTTATTGTTGGAAGAGACTTTAAAGATCATCGTCCTAGCCGGTGGTGGAGGAGGAGTTCATGGAGGTTGTGGAGGAATTAGTTTTAAAGCTCTGGTACCATGAGTTGTACTTGATAATCCTTATGTGTACCTTTCAACTGGGATTATTCCTTGAGTCTATGTGGTGGAGGAGGATACCTAGAATCGTTATTGTTGGAAGAGACTGTGAAGATCATTTTTCTAGCAGTGACGGAGGAGGCAGTGGTGGTGGTGTTGGATGAGGAATAATTTTTAGACCTATGGTGCCATGATTTGGACTTGATGATCCTTTTATGTCCCTTCCAACTGGGGATATTCCATGATTCTGTGCGGTGGAGGAAGATGCATAGAATCATTATTATTGGAAAAGACCTTGAAGGAATTCCTTCTAGGTGGTGATGGAGGAGATGTTGAAGGAAGTTGTTGAGGAATAATTTTTAAAGCTGTGGTACCATGAGTTGGACTTGATAATCCTTATGTGTTCCGTCCGAATGAGGATATTCCGTGATTCTATGTGGTAAAGGAGGATACTTAGAATCATTATGGTTGGAAGAGACCTTCAAGGTCATTGTTCTAGTTTTTGGTGGTGGAGGAGGCGGTGGTGGAGGAGGCGGTGGTTGTGGTGGTGGAGGAATTATTTTTAGACCTGTGGTACCATGAGTTGGACTTAGTGATCCTTATATGTCCGTTCCAACTGGGGATATTCCATGATTCTATGTGTTGGAGGAGAATGCATAGAATCATTATTATTTGAAAAGACCTTATAAGGTCTTTTATAAGGTTTCTTATAAGGTTTATAAGGTTTCTTATGTGTCCCTTCCAACTGGGGATATTCCATGATTCTGTGCGGAGGAGGAGGATGCATAGAATCATTATTATTAGAAAAGACCTTCAAGGACATCGTTCTAGGTGCTGGTGGAGGAGGAAGTGGTGGTGGTGGTTGTGGAGGAATTATTTTTAGACCTGTGGTACCATGAGTTGGACTTGGTGTTCCTTATATGTCCCTTCAAACTGGGGATATTCCATTTTTCTGACCAGTGGACAAGGATACATAGAATCATTATTGTTGGAAGAGACCTTCAAGGTCATAGTTCTAGTTTTTGGTGGTGGAGGAGGAATTATTTTTAGACCTGTTTTACCATAAGTTGGACTTGATAATCCTTATGGGTCCCTTCCAACTGGGGATATTCCATGATTCTATCTGTTGAAGGAGGATACATAGAATCATTATTATTGTATCTAACCTTCAATATCATCGTTCTAGGCGGTGGTGGAGGAGGCGGTGTTGGTGGTGGAGGACTACAAATGTCCATAAGGGTTTTCAATAATCCATCTTTTCAACCACAAGCAATCACGTTTTAAAATAAAAGTTTCTCAATAAGAGAAATTTATGAGGATTTAAGTGAAAATTTTGAGAAAATGATTAGGAATACCAGGACATTTTCTGTTTGGTGATCCAGCCTGTCCCCGGGGACACTAGTCTAAGAGAGAGCACAAGAGTAGATGAGTTCCCAGGGAGGAATATGTGAGAACCCCGGGATACTGCTATTCATTTGGGAACTGGTTACTTCTTTCAAGACTTGGTTGTCCAGAATCAGTAGTGAAAATGTCATGCCAAAAGGTCAGTCACTGAGAGATGGGGGGAACCAGAGCAAAGACAAAGTAGAAAACTGACATGGCAATAGTTTAGAGAAGGGAATGGTTGCAGGTGCCAATGCAAAAGAGTGTTGAGTGTTGTTTAGGTGATTTATTTTGGTTTTAGCAGACATAAAATCAGATTAAAAGGGAAAATAAGATGCACATTGTTGTTTCATAGTTGATTTTTTCTGAAGGTGCACCTCTATGGCACTACTGCTCTGACAGCAAGCCAGTTCAAGAGCTTTCTGTCCTTACCTGACCCCAACAGATCCCTCCTACCTCTGAGCAACAAATTGTTAGCATCTGTTCCTACTCTCCCTTGTTCAGCATGGGACTGGTTATTACTGGCAGCTGCACAGACAGCTGGGTGTCTGCATCTAAGAAGGCACTGGTATGAGATTGGGGGAATGTGAGGAAAAGGGTGACACTGGAAAAGGGAACCTCTTAAACTGAGTCAGAGGACTTTGTTTTGGAACCCCAGCCGCACATACTGCAAAGAAAGGAAGAAAAATGGTCCCGAAGACACCAGGTGGACTGACAGAAAAAGATGGAACAGCCCACAGCTTCTTTCAGGCCAGAAGAAGTTTTGTGCATTAATTCACCTCCACAGGAAGCTGAAATGTTCAGGTGCTAATAAAGCTGTTGGGGAGAATCCATCAGTTCAGCAGTTCACCTGCATCAGCAGGCTGCTGATGGAATCCTGCATGTTTTCCTGCATAATGCACCGAGTCTAATAAAACCCCATGCTGTTTTTACTCTTGATTTAACTTATCATTGACAAAGCCCATTTAAATAAAATCATCATGATTAGGATTCACACCTAAAACATACCTTATTAGCCTATGGCTGTGTCTGCTCTTCCAAAAAGTAAAATAAAACAGAAATAATAATAATTAAATTGTCTGGTGCCAGAAATACATGGTACTACTCTGCCACATTTCTTGTTGTATCTGTGTATGCACAGTGTTGTGCTCACCATCTTTTCCAGTAGTCCCTTATCTTGCAGAGGCTCTCAGATCAGCAGCTGTACCTATTTTTTTAGTCTAAGAGAAACTGCAGAGACCTGTGACTTCTCAGAAACCGACAAGGTCAGATGTTATTTCACACATTCATGTGAAATCATGTAAAAAGGATGCATTGGAGAATAATTTTCCCTTTGTTGGGTTGGACTTCTTTACTCACACAGGTATTTTTTACCTTCTTCTGTGTATGTGGGCTAACTCTCTAGATATTTATTTCACCTGAAATTATTACGGAGGACCTAATTCAGCCCTCATACAGCAAAACTAAAGTGTAATGAATTAATTACACCGGTATATAGACTTTTGTCTAGGCTCTTTCAGAAATGTATCTTTTTGATGAGCGGTAGCAATCAATCTGTATTGCACCGCTTTCTGTAGAGTATCAGCTACCTTGTGGCGTTGTCCCCCGTGTGGCCTTTTCCAGTGTTGCACAGATCCACCTCCTGTAAAGGGAAATTTAACATTCAGCCAGAGGAAGACCAGAAATGAAAAATCAAAGTTGTCTGTAAAATGAAAAATTGCCTTGGATCAAGATAATTTTATTTCCTTTCTACTTTTATTTCTACCTATTTTTGTAATTCTATTTACGTTTAAGAAATGCTTAATTATCCTGAATAAAAAATATTAATATTTTGACAATAATCTCTAAATAAAACCGGAAAGGTTCAGTCTTTGCAAAGACTGAACTTTGCAAAGACTTTCCTTGTCTTCCCAAAATGAAATTTCAAGTAACTTGACATTTTTTCCTGGACCAATATATTTTCAGCTATATAACTCTTTTCAGCTGTAAACTTTCCCAACAGAATTTTTCTAATAATTAAATACTTGCCACCAAAGCTCATACTACTTGTTACCTTCTGCAGCACTATATGGTCATCAACTCCAATTTTGTCTCAGCCTCTTTCACCTTCTCATCATGTGAATCTCCAGATCTTAAACTACCTGCAATAAATAGAGCCCTGGTAATACTACATAAAGATTAGACCCAGATCCCTACAACAGATTGCATGCCTATTCTTATTCAAGGGCATCAATAGCATAATATCATCTTAAATCAAGATTTTACCACCAAAGTTGTTGTCTCAGCTAGGATTTGTGGTTGGTTTCAAAATGACCAAGTTTAGATTACCATACTGATTTCAACAGATAATGGAAAAGCAGGACTAGGGTGGAGTGTATTTGATATCTCAAGTCATTTTAATAGCATGGGAAAAAAATTAATACATTCTTGGCTTGCTTGGTGAATTTGGATCCCTTTTCCTCCCTTTACTACAGTTACGACTGCAACAGCAAAGTGCAATCTCTGAAAGTGTGGGCACTTATCTATCTATATCTATATCAAAAAGTGGTGTAAATACTGGCTTTTCTGATCTCAGAATTGCATACAGGGTTGACAAGTCAGCAATAACAAGGGTTATAAACCAAACCAAACCACCACCAACAAAAAATTAAATAGGAAGGGGCTCAATGTGAATTCTTTATAATACTGCATTGGGCTGTAGAACTTAGTCTAAGTTTCTCTGTCAAACGTTTATCTACTAGAATTATTAAGTAAATAACATTCACTAAAGAATCATATACAAGATTTAGATCAAGCAATGCTACCAAAGCCAAATGAAAACATAAAAATATGCCCTTGAACATAAATGCCCATTTCAACTGTAAATCTCACCTTTTCCCTTAAAAACAAACAACATGAAGAGTTTTCCTGAAAGGACGGGGCCCTTAAAAACAAATATATATATATATATATATTTTTTTTTAATTGTAATAATATAGATGACAGGAGAGTGAAAGCCCAGTGTTGGATGTTACATATTGCTATCATGGTGAGTAACCATGATAGCAGTAATAACCAAATTTAAAGAGGTTTTTGTCAGGCATAGAGGTCAGAATTTAAATGCCCAGGAGCCACTTTATGATGCAATAGTCCCATCCAACCATAATGCACGTACCTTGCAGCCTCTGTTCAATTAGACCCCATTTTGATGGGACAACACCATGCTAAGAAACTGCGAAGAAAGAGATTTCAGCTCTAGAAACCCAGAGGCCATCCTTAGGAGTGGGGAAACTGAATGTCGTTGTTTTTTGTTTGGGGGAGGGGTGGTGGTGGTGGTGCTCACACATCTGCCAGTAGGTGAAAATGAGCAGGAATTTGATGTACACGTACCCATAGTGGCCTCCTGCCCAATGATTGCATTAGGTGGTCAACTGGGAAATATACAAGAGAAAGCAGTTTTAATTACCCATATCATTAAGATACAAAATTAAAAAAAGAAAGTGTTCCTGCCCCACCCTGCACTGTGAACCAACAACACTGCAGGTAATACTTCTGTAAAACCAACCACTGCAAAACTCAGCTCAGTACACTCCTTCCTGCTATAGGGATTAAACACTTGAGAACAGACTGTTACATTGTTTTCTAGTTACATAGTATATATTTCTACTTATAGTAATATGTATCATAGCAAAATTGATATTTATTTTGAGACATTTAATTATAAATAATTGTATTTAAGAAATTCAAAAAAAGGCCTTCAACTTTTCCAATTATTACAAGCAGAGGCTTTCTACAGAAGCAAGAAGAAATATGAGAAAATACATTACTATGAGGAAATGTTTTGGCTGGAATTACTACTTACATGATAGGTATATCACCACAGTGACCTATCTCCCATATAGTCATTTGAAGTTTCATAACCCTAGTTCAGATTAAATATGAATTAGCTGATTCATTTTTACAATGAATTGCACTGTAAACAACTGTAAAGAACACATTTAATACTATGACTCAATATGCAAAACACCTTCTGCTTTGTGCTACTGGTCAAAGCTTGCTAAGCCTCACATGTATCTCCAGCAAAGGCTGGTGGTGCAGCCAATAAATGGCCTCACAACTTCATAACCAGGTTTTGGACACTTACTTTTCGCCAAGACTGATGGTTGAACTGGTGAAGGGACCAGGATGATTTGTTTTCAGTAACTGCAACAAGGAGAGCACCACCAATTATATTATGTTTTAAAATAACATCCCATGCCCTCAAAAATAGAAGTCACCAAAAATTCTCTGCAAAATTTCAGTTTACATGCCCTGCACTTTTAAGGGTTTGGAAACAAGTACTGAGGAGACCATGAAAGGCCAAAAGAAAAGCAAAGACCTATTAATAGCCTTGCATGTACTATACAGCAGTCGACAAAAATATTCTGGAAACGTTCTGGGGTCTGGAACTGGAAAAAAACTTGCAACCATTGTACAGTATGGAGATCAAAAGCAATGAAAAGAAAAGGAGAGGCAATGCTGTTATCAAATCTTTAATTCCTGGGAATCCTGAGTGGTCAGTATTATGTAAAATATTTATTAAAGATGAATGCCATTCCATGAATAACTTGCATGTATTATGTAAAATGTTTATTACAGATGAATGCCATTCCATGAATAGTTTGCTTGTTGCTTTTTTTGAGTAAAAACAATGCATTTATCCATTGTAAATGAAGTTCTGTCTTCTGCCCAACAGGATGTCTTTAATACCTCAGTCTATAGCCCTTTTCATAAGTAAATTTTCTAAATAAAACACAGCTTTCATATAAACAAGTATATATATAAAACAACAACAACAATGAATGCAGCCCACTAATAGCTAAACAAGAGGGCAAGAAAATAAAATAGAGATGATAAAATGTGATAGAGAATATCTAAACCTGGCTTCTGTCTGGGAGACAACTGTGTTTACATAGGAACATGAATTAGAGCTCAGGTGTATGTCCCTCTGAGTTAAACCAACTGGCACACCACTCTTGGCATGATCCTATACTCTTTCATGCTCTCACAGGCACAAACACACCAGTTACAGTGCTGTTGCTTTGGCTCTCCCACTCCAAGTCTCTTCTCTGCATACTGCAAGATCATTAAGAAGTACCTGTGCCTACAAAGACAGGAACAAAGACCAAAGTTTTCCTAAAGGCAAATCTTCTGCCATCTTTTTTTTTTTTTTTTCCCTCAATATTAAAAGGTAATCAAATAAGCTAGAAGATTGAGTAAGCAAGACTGAATTCTTGACACTTCTGGAGTGGCAGGAGCAACAGCACAGCATCCCTGCATACTTATTTCAAAGGACAGCAGCTGCCCATTTCCTGTTGCATATACTGGGCTAGGGTAGAATGGATCAAGAGGGAACATTTAAGCAACTGAAAAAAAAAAAAAGGCATCATCCTTAACTTTCAGAAAGTTATCTCTGCACTAGGGGACCTTTCTTGAATCTAGGTCCCATCTTCAACTGTTTCTTAGCTATATTGAAGGGTCAGAAATGTAACTTCAAAATGTGAAGACCTATCTAAATCACTAGATGGAATAAATAAATGATTTATTCCAGCATTTTCCACTTTCCGTACGCAAACCCTTCTCTGTCAAGCTCTTCGTTCACCTTGCATGCACAGATTTGGAGACTACAACAGTATGCATAGATGTGTTTATATATAAATTCTATAATAATATATCACTATATCATATAATACCCAACATAGTAATATGACACTGGATAGTCTATCCAATAAGTTAATCTGTCCATTTGTTTACACACTGATTTTTATGGTTAATTAAACTGCAGTTATGCATACATAAATTCCCTTCCCCTCTAACTAAACAAACATGCTTTTTACAGAAACCACATCATCTGTGTTCCCTGGCTGTGTTGTTTCAGATTCTGACTTGCTCATCATTTTCTCCTCTTGGCTTCTGTCTTTTTGGTTTTAGTACTTCATCATTTCTATCCCTTCCTGTAGACAAACTACAAAATCATAGGAGTCAAAATGCTGGTTTTTGAAACCCCTGTTCTCACAGAAGGATATCTTATCATCACATCCTCATCTTGAGCAAAGATTAACAATATTAAAAATGAAAATATACAAGAATACAAAAAAAAAAAAAAGTTACTTAGAAGCAAGAAGTCTGACATAAACTGAGAACAAGCCATCCAAAAAAGCAAGAAAAGCTCCCTAGTCAAATATTAAAGAAGCATTTCTAGTGCATGATTCACCTACTCCAAAAGTAGACTTGTGAAATATGCCAGCTGAATAACGGCCTGCCTAACAGTGTCCATTTCTCTCCAGTGACTCCAGCCTGGCCCAGAACTCAGAGGCACCCATTTTGCAGATACTGAGATGCGGGCAGATGAACCCCAGCCCTAGTCTTCACCTGGGATGCCTCAAACACAGTCCAGTTTCTGCAGAAATTGCTCCACAGACGTAGACTCGTGATAGAAAGGGAGTAGAGATCTCCCTGGTTCCTTTGTTTGCTTGCCCTCTTCCAGCCTTGTCAAAGAAAAACATTCAAGGAGAGCTGCGGTAGCAAGCTGACAGAGCTCTTACATACCAGCCCTCCCCTCCAGAACTGAGAGGTTTTGGAAGCAGTGGAAAAGGAGAATTAAAGATGTTTTCCCTACCCCATCTACCCTGTGAATACAGAGTCACTCTGCTCTGTTTCTTCTCTGCTTTTGCCTCAGCCAAAAAGACATTTCTCCTAAATTTTCTTTATGTTCATATTTCTAGATATGTTCAGAATGACCCAGAAGCTTCAAAATCAGAAGAGAGTTCAAAAGCCCTATTTGATCTTTATTAAAACACATATTTTCATATTTAGTGATTGATATCATTATATATTTTTTACAGACTCATTGTTTTTTCTGTAGTTTCTTGAGAAAATAAGGCCTCTTTTATCACACTGCCAGTCCCTGATTACTCAATTAGAAACAAATCGACTCATTTAAAAAACATAACAAACATGCAGAGGAATCAAAGATGAGCATGTTTCTGTAGCTGGCTACAGCAGAAAGCTCATGCTCGTATCCCTGTGGGAGGATGAGCAATGAGAGGCTGGCCCTTACACATTTTGTTTGACAGCTTCTGTGATATCTTGTCCAGGGAACAGCTCAAAATATTTGGTGCAGGGACACCAAATCTACTGGGAACATGGGAGGAATGTAAAGATGGTTTGGGGGAACAGGTAATGCTAATATGCCTCTTTTATTACAGCAGTAGGCTGAAACTAAAAACCAAGAGAGAATGTGCTGCTTTTATAATAAATATCAATGGCAATATTAGCCACAATGAGCTAACTATATTCTTTTGGTGGCGTTGGTTGAGACTCTAAGGATGTGGTTCTGTACACAGCCCATGAGCAGGTTGCCCAGTGGAGCAGCTGATGCAAGGACTGCCCAGAGCCAGCCGTGGGGCTGAATAACCTGAGTGCAGTCTGGCACCTGCTGCCTCTGAAAGGATGGTGAGAGCATCTAAGGAGAGAGACAGTGACTTCCCACAACCTGGGAACCCAGGACAAGAACGAGAGAGCTAGGACGCCCACCTCCTGGCAGGGCTGGGGCATAACTGGAGCAAGTTACCAACATGTTGATTCCTGCACCAGCGTGGCTCGGGGACCTGGCAGCCGTGCCAGCAGTACCTGGCCCTGCTGGGACCCCTGTGGCCCTGTGGCCCCCAGAGACACTGCTGAGACTGTGCAGGGGGCAGCAAACAGCCTGGCTGGTCCGGGCACAGGAGAGCATCTGCAGCAATAAGAGATG